GACGGAAAGGATACGTCCTCCAATAGGTTGCAAAGAGGCTTTTGAATTGATCCCAGTTAGTTTTCTTGTTGTGGCTTTTAGATTCCTTGTTGGTGTTTTGTATAGTGCCTTCGAGGATTGTAAGAATATATTTGTGGTCACTGGCCGAGATAATGGGTAGAGTCGCACACCTGAATATTTTGCTACCTAGACTAGTAGGCGCCAGACAGACATCGGTCCACCCCTTGGCCCTGCTAGTTTCGAAAGTGGGGATATCCGAAGTATTTAAGGAAATCCCGTCGATTTCATTCAGGAGATCTTGCACTAGCCGACCTCGTTTGTCCTCCTCTTCGTTAAACCAAAGGGCAGATTTAGCGTTTATGTCGCCCGCTATTATGTAGTTCTTATCTCCAAGCTTTTCCAGAACATTGTGCAATTCGCCAATACAGTCGTCGTCATCGTCGAAAGGCGAAAAGTAGACGTTGATGATGAAGTCGATGGAAGCGTTGTGGATAGCCGCGGTGGTGATCCTATAGGAGCTTAACTCCGGGATCAAGGTGATATTTATGTTGTTATTCCTGACGATAATGCCACATTTTGGCCTATCGTTGTTGTCGCTTTTATTCAGGATATTCCAGATGCCGAACCTCACAATCTTGCCTTGGATAGTATAAGGCTCCTGTACCAGTAAAATGTCTGCATCCAGGTCGTTTGCCGTTTTAAGGGCAAGCGAGCTAGCGGCCTTGCCTCGCTGGGTGTTAATTTGGAGGATACGTAGATGAGAAGAGTTGTTACCATTGTTGTTAGTGTTTAGCTGGGTGATATTACTATTAGAGTTAAGTCCCATAATTGGTCTGTTGAATAATTTGTTGCCTGATTATTTGTGCGGCTGGACATTGAAGGCTATAGGCGTTGTGATCGGTTTTAAGTTTTTTGCCTTTTGGCAAGTTTTTGTTTTCATTAGCGCAGTTAATGCATTTCGGTTTCTGTGTTTTTTCGCAGTCTTGGAATTTGTGCTCTTCTGTGCAATGACTACAAGTTTGGTTCTTAGGGCAGTCTCTGGCCAGATGTTGAAAGCCGCAGCATTTGTAGCAACGTATTAGGGGCAGGAAGTCGTCCACTTTGATCTGGGCCCATGAGAGTGCAACGTATTTTAAGTTTAATAGCTCTTTTCTCATCCTAGGTGAGACACTGATTACTAGGTGGCGGCAGTTCTCCTTTGCTTTTCCTCTGATATTAATTAGAGTTAGCTTGCAGTTGGACTCGAATTCGTCTTTGCTAAGCTTTCCGAGTGTCGGGTTTTGCTCATGCAGGATGTTTAAGACCTGGTCCGTTTCCACGGAAATAGGAACGTTTATTAGAATTAATTTCGGGCTCCGACCTTCTGAGACTTTGCATCTCACGTTTGGTTCAATGTCTTTGATTCCCTTTATAGCCTTTTCTAGAGTTTCGCCCTCTTGTCTATCACCAACGCGGAAACAGACCCCATCACCTTTGACTTGGCGTACTGCCTTAACGTTGACTTTGATTTTATGAGGTTGTATTTTCTCCATGATTTCCTTGGTAATAGCCTTCATGTTGATCCTTTCCCCTTCCATGGGGTTAGGGTAGACGATCACGGCATGGCTACTCACGCTTCTTTCGCTATTAGCTATTGTTTTGTTGATCGATTTGGTGGTCTGGCTTGGCTTTCTGGCCAGTTTAGCCATGTCAGCGTACGTGGGTTGTGGGTTTGCTTGAATATTTTGCCATTGTTGTGGTTGGGGGGCCATGTTTGCCTCCTTTTTATCTCTCAACTCAGTTAAAATCCCGTACATTTGGTGTACGGCCTCGAAAAGTTGGGCAACACGTTCCTTTATTTCCTTACGTTCCTCCGTGCGAATATTCGATTTGTACGGCTCTGGGATAAGAGCCAGAATGCGTTTTAATTGGGTGCTCGCATTCTGCAAAATAGTTTTCTCCTTGGCTTCACCCGCTGGATCCCTGCCGTTAGCACTTGCAGAGGGATCCGTAGAGGAAGGATTAGACAAAGGAGAGTCGTCCTGGAGAGTCTCGTCCATAAGGCATGTGTCAACCATGATAAAAATATGACAAACTTAACTAGACTAAGACTGATTGTAAAATAAAGACGGAAGAGGCTTATAATGTGAATAAACGAAGACAAAGAAGTTAAGTAACCAAGCAGATAGCAGTTAAAAAGAAAACTCGCGAAATCAAGCGAAGAAATTGCCGAATTAGGGTCAGGCAGAAGCGAAAGGTCAACCACGTGGAGAGATCGACCACGTGGTAACGAAGACCTAAGTTTCTTTGTTTGTACCGAAAAGCAAGAACGCTTATATTATTCAAACGAAAAGAAATAGAATAATGAGATTTACATTGTAGAAAGTTTATAAAAGGATAAAAGCGTCTGTGAAAGCACAACCACGAAAGAAACGCGACAGGCCCGCAATTTGGCCCCAACCAGATACAGGAAACTCGTACAAACTCAAACACAAAGAAAATCCGAAAGCAGAGTTAGAAAGAACTTTAAAAACTAAATCGAGTGATATATAACAATCCCACTTACCAATAAAAATTGCCCGAAAGCGGAGGTTAAAAACCCTAAGTTTCGGAAACCCGTAGTTTGAGAACAATTAATCCGATCTGGGAAAATTTAATATCAGACGGTAGCTGAGGCTTAGATAACTCCAACAAAGTAAATATATCCAAATTATGAATTAATATTCTGCTGATGTACCGATCGAAACACGGAGCATATATACACACGTCCGAACACATTCGCGACTAGCGCCGCAGTCAGGGGAGGTTGGCACTGGAGGAGGTCGGCACGTTGAGAACATTCGAGATGCTGTAGCTTAATCCCGTTGCGATCGAGGCTATTTCGTATTCGGAGATGATGGTAATCCGTACTCAGAGGCATAGAGTTCTATGTTAGTTGAGGACCGGGTGATGACTGTAACCATCGGAGGAACGTGTGGCGACTTGTTGCATCGGGGAGAAATGGGCGGTGACTACCCCATTCGTCCGTCAGTTCTGATTCTAAAACGATAGCGCACGGCCGGGAGGTCAAAGGATCACGAAAAAGCGTCGCTTTCTCCGCCGAGAACGTGCAAATAAAAAGTTCTCAGGGCGTAAAGGATAATCAACAACGTTTGTTGTCAAAATAGGTATAATGATATCGACAAAAGATTTTCGTTAAAGTCGGGTTCTCACAATTACAATTAGACAATGCAAGATATATGCAATTACAATATTTGATTTAGAAAAAAATTCAGCTACGAGTTACTTAACTTTCCCATAAACAACATTAAAACTGGTGTGTCATCGTGTTACGATATTTTATTTTAAAAACATTTTATATAATTAACTAGCTTACCCGTCGCGCATTACTGCGATCTCAGAAGAAACGAAATTCAAGCAAACTCGTTATGATAAAATTAAATTTACATTTCATCATTTTTATTGAAACTTATTATTATTATTCATTTTCATCGGGAAAACATTTCAAAGTGTCGTTTCAATTCTATTTATTTATTGGAGTGTTTGTGGATACACGATATTTTTTGTTTTTCCGTCTGGTGCGTACACGAATAAATCGGAAGGTTTTTCGACGCGTGAGCCGGCCACATACAGTTGTCCATGCGAGAAGCACGGATTCTCCAAATTTAGCCCACACACTCGCTGCGATTGTCAGAAGTGCGATATTCCCCATTTTTATATATATTTTTAAATCCTTTATAATTTTAATTATTTAATTGCTCCTTCCTCTCTTCCTTGGCATGTTGTGAAATTTCTGATTGTTGGATAATAAACCGTTTTATTGTAATTTGTCTTTTTAAATTATTAGATGATATTAAAATTTGGGAAAGGGGATCCCTAGATCGGTAAAATAGGCGAATTTCCTTCTACAACTTCGGTTGTTGTTCGGTATACAGTTAAAGTTTTAACGAAGTTCGAGCGAATACGTAATTAGCAAAAAAAAAGTTGAAATAAAGTGATTAAACAAACATTATTACGAATATCGTAAATAACAGTTCACAAATGCATATATAAAAATATTTTTTGTAGGGGGAAATGGTCTTCACAATTTGAAATCGATCTAACACAGTGCTCGAATGCTCGTTTAAACGCGCGCCATCTATCGTAGGATAAATGTACTTCGTGGGGGTGTATTAAAAAACTTTCCAAAAGTTTTATGGCAATCGTACTATGCCACAAACCTTCGCCGGAGTATATTAAACAACTTCCCAAAGTTTCACGGCAATCAAATAAACGGTGTGGTAATGCATAAAGGACAGACAGACACACACACACACATTCATTTTTATATATATAGATTATTATAAAATAGTAAAAGAGCTTAATTTTGAGAGTAATTCTAAGGGTTTTATAAAAAAATGTAAATGCTAATAAGGTGTAAAACTTCATTTAAGTCCGACACACAATCCCCCCCTCTATCTCCCCATTCCCTCGACCTTTAATACCAAAATTTAATAGCATTAATCCTCTAACACACAAATCTCCCTGCAAAATTTCAGGAATTTTTCACAAAAGAGGCGGAAGTTATTAAGCTTCAAGAAAATTGTGCCCACATACACACTATCATCCGTACACACAGAAAAAATCTCCATTTTTTTCTCTCTTTCTCGACGTTTGAAGGTTCCCTGAGTTCAAAAATGTAAAAATCTTGGAGGGTCATTTTTGATCGTTCTCCGTACTGTCACTCTGTTATATATAAAACACCCGGGAAAGTAAAAATATATTTTGAAAGATGTGTGTGCCCACCAGTAGCCAAGCGGTCTTCGTACCCTGAACACTGGGAGTTCGGTCGTGGGTTCGCGCCTGGCTCGGACTGGCTGGCCACGTGGAGTTTTCCGGGTTTTCTCCACGTCTGTAACGCCTAAAAAGGGGCCAGTTTCCATAGAAAATACCTCTCGGAACGCATCCCCCTAGAAAGATCGCCCAAGCCATAACTTAACAAACAAACGGAAAGATGTCTAATTTTCTTTATTTTTAGATTTCAAGTTTAAGAAAAATCATCATGTCGAATCTGATACAAGTTGACAACCAATTGAAATTGAAAGCAAATATCGATATTATAGTAACAGAAATAGGCAAGAAGAAGTCCATCAGGAAGAGATACCCTCTGAGAGGATTTTATGGAAACGACACCCTTTTGATATATGGATCTTCCGATTACGTTTTGTAAGTAATTTCAATATGTGTTGGCTTTTGCTGTTTTTTTTGTAACAAGTTACTTGATTGTAACATTATTTCCAGGGAAACGGACATCGAAGATATGAAGAAAATGTTTCCAAAACTGCAAGTCGTTCATATGAAAGAATGCAGTCATTGGATTCATATGGACAAACCGGACGAACTGATGCAAATTATCGTGCAACATCTCTCGAAGAATTGTTCTTCCTAGACAATGCATGCTGTAATTTTTGATACATTGTAAAAGTATAGAAAACTTTGTTACATAGTATGTACTTAAGAGAATTTTGTTCTGCGTGCTCATTACTTGGTTTTGTAAAGGGTGACACTTGCACTCAAAAGAGTTCTAGGTCTATACTTTAAGTGCAAAAATAAATCGAACTTTTAATATAACTTTCATAAGTCAAGATTAAAATTCACAGACTACTTCTGAAGTACAGCCGATATTTTTCTACTGTTTCTGTCTGTGTTCAATAAGATCTTTTAGCAAGTCGATTATGGGTTAGCTAGATCCAGAACGGGGGTCGAATGAGGAGGGACGTGGCCCGATATTTCCGGATGGACCTCCCGAATATTTCCTGAAGTTTTTCGACTCGTTTAGATTTGATTCCGGATTCACAGAGTGGCAAGAATGACATTTTAACCGGTCGGCTATCCGGTTTTCTGTAGTTGATATTTGTAAGTAATAGTTCATTCTTAGCAATGTTCCGAACAAATGACTGATATATGAAATAGGGGAGGCGCCGACGACGACACAGTATTCCAATATGTTATCAGAAAACAGAAATCTTCACGAGACTAGTCGGTTAGTCGGGCGCGAATCCGTGACCAACTAATTGAATCGCAGTTTACAAAGACTTACGAATGCTGGCCTAACTGAATATGCGAAAAAGATGTGTTTTTTGGAAACGTGCAAATGCGTATTTTGCAATGACACTGACTTGGATATTGCATGTAGGCAGGGCAAATAGCAAATTTATTCGGCAGACGACGTATGTGCGTTAATATTACATTCAACGGTTTTCTCTCGACGACAAATTTTTTTTTTATTACAATTCGATAACACGGCGAATATTCGTGTGGTTCGTTATAACCATAATTAGTGGTTCGAAAGCTAGCGGAATATATTTTAAACACGCGACAGGGATTAATTTCCAGTAGATTNCGCGAATCCGTGACCAACTAATTGAATCGCAGTTTACAAAGACTTACGAATGCTGGCCTAACTGAATATGCGAAAAAGATGTGTTTTTTGGAAACGTGCAAATGCGTATTTTGCAATGACACTGACTTGGATATTGCATGTAGGCAGGGCGAATAGCAAATTTATTTGGCAGACGACGTATGTGCGTTAATATTACATTCAACGGTTCTCTCTCGACGACAAATTTTTTTTTTATTACAATTCGATAACACGGCGAATCTGTGTGTGGATCGTTATGACCATAATTATTTGTTCGAAAGCTATAGGAATATATTTTAAACACGCGACAGGGATTAATTTCCAGTATATTGTGATATTAATGTCAGTATTATTATAACACATTATTATTTAGAATATTAACGACATTCCTATAAAGGTGGCAAGGCAGCTTCCGATTTTAGGATTGGGCCGACGACCAAGTCTCTATAACTACAGTACATTTATCGTACGAAAAGCAAACGGAATATGTTTTAAATTTTAATTAATAAACTAATGCGAGTTTCTTTCAATTCCCAGTAACGATAATTATGATCGGAAAGAAAAATAATATATCCCCGAATCAAGCTTCGGTAAGCCGCAGTCTCTGCTTATTAATTAAAACACGGGACATTAAATAATTTCTATTGTAATTTTAATAATAATGATGATAATCTGACATTAATTCGCTTAAATATGCGACTATATAAGCTCAGTACATCCATTGAATGTAAATTTTTGTTCGAATTTACTCCTTTAGCAAACTGGTTATATTATTTAATTAACAATAATATTCCTGATAATCATTTAATAATGTCTCTACTAATATCATTTAATAACACATTGTGCTAATTGATTTATTGTAGCTTGTATATCTTTAATGTCAAAAATGTTTCTTTTAGATACGAATTTATATGTTGTTATTCAATTACAGTCAAACCTCAGGTTTCGAACAGTTGTTCGAAAACCGAAACAAATTGTTTCTTAAATGTAATTTGTGTTCGGTTGAATTTCGTAAAAAATCTGATGTATTGTTACACTTCAGAGAGCTACACGATATTACTATATCTAATTATAATCGGATATTTAATTCATTTAGTGATTTTATGGAATGGAAACAGAAATATGAAGTGGAAAATACCGTTAAGTATATTATAATAAATGGTTCAAAATCGAACATTAAGCCCAATAGTTCTATATATTATAAGTGTTATAGGTCATAAATTTTAAGTCCCTCATATTTTATTTGATTGATAATTCCATTCAGTGGCGTAGCGTAGGTGTCAGCCGCCCGGGGCGGAGGAAAATTTCTCCGCCTCCTTATTTAGGTATCTCAATTTAAAAAAATAAAATTCAATTTCGTCGCAGGATAAGTAATGAAAAATTCCGCGCTCATTTCAATCGGTCCGAATCGTATGTGCGCCCGAAAATGCCGCCCGGGGCGGGCCGCCCCTGCCCACCGACTACGCTACGCCACTGATTCCATTATTCCATGATAGTTTTATTCTCGTACGGAAACATTGTAAAATCAACGTAAGCAATAGCACGTGTTGCTTTTGTGGCACAGATATTGCAATAGCTTCTGCTTATCTACTACCAGACCGACTATGTTTTCAACAACCGAATGCCGTAAATTAATCGGGCTATTTTTATGCTAAATTCTAAATAAATTACGTAATTAATTTGGCACTAGAGGTAAGCGTTAGGCGCCATCTCTTATTAAAATTAATAATTATAAATATATTAATTANATAGCTATATATTATATACAGTATATATAGACTATATAATTCCAAATTTTTTTAAAAAATCTTTTTCCGCTTCTGGCCAATTAGATAAACCACCGAAAACTAGTAGTTGGTCTTGTTTTCGTGGAGTTTTCCGGGTTTTTTTCACATTTGTAACACCTAAATAAGCCCGGTTTCCATAGAAAGTCTTCTTGGGACACATCCCTCCGACATATCGCCCACGTTTCGCGTTGCCTTGTACAAATAAAGCAAACCGAACCTTTTCCCGCCCTATTGACACTAAGAAGACTTTTTTAATCATTCCCATAATGAATTCGGCCAGGACCGCAATAGGAACGGCCGAGTGGATAAGGAACGGGGCTCGACATATCCATCCATGAAAAAATTCCTGGGTTTTTTCATGGTTATAGCCAAGACGGACCCTGGAGATCCCCAACCCATTCGGCCATTCGGGCTTTTATATATCTAATCAATGAAACATACCTAGAATATTAATAAAGGCTATCGGTTACAGTCACTAATAAATTATACATTTAGATTATTATGAATGGTGAATATATTTTGTCATTGCTACTATATTAAGTAGAAATTGATTGATTTTAATACATTAAAATCTCATAAACTATTGATATTTCTTTTATCATAAAAATAAAAACTTATTTATTTTCTTATTGAAGTCATATTCTTAGAAAATAAATTTTCTTTTGATTTGCATTTAATATAGACTGTATAATGTATTCCATAGATTACTACAAATTATATCTATCTACTCAATTAATATAAATCATAAGCTATAGTATTGATACAGTCGAGCCCCCTATAACACTGTTGATAATTCCGTTTTATATGAATTCCATGTTGTACGAGTCACTTAGATTTTACAAATACGTGAGCCGTTCACAGCCCGGAACACGTATTTGTAAAATCTAAGTGACTCATACAACATGGAATTTATATAAAACGGAAAAATCAACAGTGTTATAGGGGAGTCGACTGTAGATATTATCAAAACACTGAATAAACTGGATTTATTAGAGAAATAATATCAAGATGGAAACCTGCTTAGAAAATTAAGGGGAATCGAACAAATCCCTATGCAGATTACGAATTTCGTAGTTATCATCATCGAAACCACGTACGTAAAGGTTGATTTGACAAGAGGAACCAATTATCGTGGAAACCAGTATAAGATTGTAGTATTTCAGATTCGTAGTTTATGTTGTTTAATAACTTGAGAGGAATTTTCTGTTTAAATAAATCAGAATAATTACAAATAATGTTAAACGATTTACCTAATAATGTAGTTAATATATGTGAATCTATACGAATTTTTCTCGTTTCTGAGTTAAGGCATGGCATTACCTTACAGAATAGCTAGCTAATTTCTTTGCATTGTTTTAAATTTCAAGCTGAGAACAGGAATAGAGACCTACCCCCATCCGAAGTGGGAAATGGCTTTCGATGGCCTAATTTCTCAAATATTTTAAATCAGACAAGGCCACATGAATACTGAGTAATAGTTGTGCGTGCTGAAGTGATACAGCACCAAAATATTGATAGAACTAGCGAAAAATCCGAAAAAAATTGTAGAATAGGGATTTGTAGAAAAATTTGTAGAATTTGTAGAAAAATTTGTAACTGGTTGAAGAAACTTCCGAAAACTCCATATAATCAGCCCGTTGGTCCTAGGACAAACTACAAGAGTTTAGTGATGTTATCACTCGGACATTGATGTGGACTAAGTTGTAATTTGAATGAGCATTTTAAAGATAAAGAAACAAATAATACAGTCTGTTTTAAAACAAATTAGACTATTGGTTTGCTTAAATAGAAAATCTGGCCATTCTGACACAACGAATGTACTGTATATTAAAAATTAATTTTTTGTGTTCAGAAATAATCTTAATTTACTTAAAATAATAATTGTTAAGTAAATTATAGAAATAATTAACTATTTTTATAACGTCTGACAGAATTAATAGAAAAACAGTACGCAACCAATTATGCTAATTTGAATGAACTACACAAAGGAGGATGTAGTATTAATACAAAATATTTTTAAAGAAAAATCTTATTAATACAGTAGACCCCCCTATAACGCTTAGATACGTTCCACTTTATAAGAATTTTACGTTGTAGGAATCCTTAAATACATGAGCCAATCACAGCCCGACACGTGTCAAGTTTACGGACTACGGCTGTTTGAAAAATTTTTTTTTTTATAAAATTAACCGATTCTAGCCAGTTGAACCCTGAATTTTTTTTAAAATGACAAGTTCCCTGGCCTGGATTTTTTGTAAAATATTTTAAAACTGCTATATCTTTTTTAATTTTTGCGCTAGAGACGCGCTGTTTTTTTATTTTGTCTATAAACACTTTATTTTCACTGATTATA